AATATCAAGAATAAAATAAAACTACCTGCAATTGCGACAAAAAATTCTTAGCAATTATAGGTTTTGCCGCCAAAGGACAGAACAACGGCTTCCTTGCAGCACAGGCTAAACAATTGTTTACAAACTCTTCTACGATTTCTTGTTTTATGTATCCCCATTTTTCACGAATCGATATCCACATTTGCTTCTGACCACTATGTTGAGTTACTTCACCATGAGTATGGCAAAGAACATTATAAAACCTTTCAGTTATCAGCACAGGGTTCTTCAAAGCTTTTACAATTACTCTAAAATCTCCAGACATAATTTCCTCTAACACAAACTTATTTTTAGCCCAACTGCGTAAGTTTTTATTATACAATGAAGTGTCTTTAGGATTTAATAGAATTGTTTTAATTTTGTTTAAAAGTTCACTATTTATTAAAGCTTTCGCTTGTTTAGCCTTTGGGAGATTAGTTATATACTTTTTCACAATTTGATCAAGAGTGCTCCTGCTAATAAATGTATATTCCATCTTATAGGTAATGAACTTGTAAAGCCAGTTCAAAATAAAATATGTAAAAAAAAATAGTAGCGCCAAATAAACAAATTGACACCAAATGAGATCAAAGAACAGGTGGCAACAATATAAGTGTAGTTGAAATCAAAAAAAATATAGGCACCAAATGTGAAGCAGCGTTGATATCAAAAAAATGTGTGGCACCCAATGTGAAAAATAGCAAAAAATATATAACACCTAATGTAAAGACAGCACTAAAACCAAAGAAATTAAATGGCACCAAAGAAATTAACGGCACCAAAGAAATTAATGGCACCAAAGAAATTAAACGGCACCAAAGAAATTAACGGCACCAAAGAAATTAAACGGCACCAAAGAAATTAACGGCACCAAAGAAATTAACAGCACCAAAGAAATTAAACGGCACCAAAGAAATTAACAGCACCAAAAAAATTAATAACTCCAAAGAAATTAAACGGCACCAAAGAAATTAACGGCACCAAAGAAATTAATGGCACCAAAGAAATTAACGGCACCAAAGAAATTAAATGGCACCAAATAGAGAAAAAGTGTATGGAGAGACAGTTAAGATCAAAATTAAGTGGCACTAAATATAAATATAGTGTTAAAATCAATTAATCCAACATTGATCTGAATAAAGAAAAAGGTAGGCACCAAGAACCAAGCCAATGTCAAATTCGAAAAGTTAGATGCAACGCCAAAGTCAAACACAAGATGCAAAGCCAAAGTCGAACGCAAAGAAACATAAAGCCAAAGTCGAACGCAAAGAAGAGTAAAGCCAAAGTCGAACGAAGAGAAGTAAAGCCAACGAATGTGAAGAGGTAAAGTCAAAGAATGCGAAGAGGTAAAGTCAAAGAATGCGAAGAGGTAAAGTCAACGAATGTGAGGTATAAAGCTAATGAATGTGAAAAAAAAAAATCCAGGTACAAAGCCAAACGATGATTAAAATAAAGCAAAAAGCTTTTTTTTATACTCTTGTTCATTATGACATCGTTATGACATCGTTATTACATAGTTACACGTTTGAAAAAAATTTTTTACTAATGATGATCTTGCGTCAGATTATACGCACGTCAGATGACCGATAGACAGGTGACGCGCGTCACCTGCAAATCGGCATCTGACGTGCGTCGGATTAGATCCGACGCAAGAAAGCATCTAAGGCACAACATACACATATAAGGTATCGTAATTAACTTATGCACGCAATGTAAATACATAAAATGTTCTCGCGTACAAAAAAAAACGAAAAAAAAACTTTAAAACTAACTAACCTATGTGCGCAATATAAATGCATAAAATATTCTCGCGTACAAAAAAAACCGAAAAAATCTTTAAAACTAACTAACTAAATAACTAATGTTGCCATGTAGTAGTATTATTATAATTTCGTTAAAGATTTCGTTAAAGTCTATTACATTATTGCATGGATTTTGATAATATTGATATAAATCAATTTCTAGTGAAGATTGTGATAATAAATCAGTTGTTTGATAATTAACTTGTGGAATCGGCATTTGAGTAGGATAAGAGGCTGAAGTTGATGATGTATTCATATATGAATTATATAAAGGCACGGCCTTAGAACGTGGTGTTGTATTCATATATGGATGATACATAGGTACTGCCTTATTAGAACGTGAATTTGGTCTGTATCTATATCTTGGGTGCTTCTGGGAATGTAAATTTAGGACATCAAGTGCTAATTGTTCATATGTTTCCTTTGAAAAAAGAAGGTTTGAAAAGAGAGATATATATATATATGAATATTTATATAATAATATTAAATTATAATTCTAAAAAATACCTTCTGCTGAAGCTTCTCTCCATACCATTCTGGTAACTTTTGATATTACACGTATATTACAAGTTCCTTTCGATCTAGCTTCATTATGAACATTTTTACGACATAATAAAATCCATTTGGTGGTCTTCTTGTACGTGTGTTTGGTGTTGATCTTCCCATTAATTCTTCTGGATTATTAATAGCTAGCTAGTGGAAAAATATTATTTCTATCCAAAAGTTTGATTAAACTATATGCCAAATCGTTTAAATATGAAGTTTGCATAGCCATTATAACTTTCTTATTTTTTTTTGATTAACTATTTTTCGCGATGATATATCTTTGTTAATCTTATTCTAAATTAATTTATATAAAAAAATTTATTTTGAAAATATTGTCAATTTCGTTCCTTTTTCCAGCACCTAGCCTATATAATTTAAAATTTTCATTGATCATGAGTATACTTACTATAATACAAGAGTAAAGTTAAATAAAGAATAAGGTACAACTCGGCGTAAGTTTTTATTTTATATCTTTTCTAAAAATCGAACTTTTTATATATTTAATTATTCTAAAAATCAAACCTTTTTTAAGTAAAATGAAAGGTGCCTTATATATTCTTTGCGCTTAACTGTTATTATCAATTTAATAACTCCGGGTTTTTTATTTTTTTTTATAAATAAGAAAAATTACCATTAAATTTCCCTACGCCCAAAAAGTACAGGATCACAATGCATATTTAAACTCGTGATGAATGCAGTTTTTGTACTCCTGACATCGGATTTTTAGTCCGAGGGTCATTATAAAAATAATCGTCACGATATTTAAACCATTATAAAAAAAATAAAAAAATATACTAGTTGTATTAATAAAATTTTGCAGTATAGCTCTTTAAAGTTTGTATTTTTTATGATCTATTATATATTCTGTAGAACTTTTTTTTTGTTAATTTCGTTCTTTTTCAGCACTAGCCCATATAATTGTGATTTATCTAGCTGTCACACTAATTCTAGCCGAAATTTAACTATTTATATTTTTTTCATTACAAAAATAGCAAATTCTGGATAATAAGTCTTCTAATAAATTAGCCTAGGAGTATTTTCACTTAATAGGCCCGTGATTTTGTTAGTAAAATTTTTGAATAATTACTGCCTAGATCGCAGCTCTCAAATTGAAAACAATTTTGGTGCAGCAGCCAGGTTTATATCCCGTGTTCAACTGCGAAGTAAATCCAATTTGAAAAATTTAGCAGATTATAATTATGGCTCAACGACCGTCAAGAATTTCTAGGTCTTCTGGTAACATTTCCTTTAATAATCCATCCGCACCTGGCATTCACAATTTTCGTATTAGGCTTTCTGAACCCACAGAACACCAACCGAACCCTCTTCGGGTTGCCTTTTTGGAGTATCAAAATGCTGGCTTGACATTGCAGCATTCCTCCGTTATTCAAGAAAATAATAACCTCCGTTCTCGACTTTCTTTCCTTATTCAGGAAATTAATAATCTTCGTTCTGAAGTTACCGAATTAAAAGATCAAATGAAAGTTCAAGAGGCTGCCCTTTCTATTTCAAATAGAGAATTTGAAGAATTTTTTCTTAATGGTCCATTTTCCGTAAATGATCAACCTTGATCTATTTGATTTTTATGTAAAATTCGTTAATTTATTTTTTTGACAGCAATTTCTATTCCTTATTTATTTATTTTTTTAAAGTACTATTATGTTGATAATAAGTTCCAACTCTATGTTTACATGACGGATTTATTATGATTTTATATGCTTATAATGCTATTTATAATAAAAGGTGATTCAATTATAAACATTCTTATATTAATATTACTGTATTAGAGGTTGCATTATCAATTTTGTAAAACCATACGTTTAAATTTTGAGCGAACCGACAACCATCTATCCCAAAATTGATTTATTTTACAGCTGTTCTCATAAATTTTGGGACATCTGGTAAAAAAAAAAAATAATAATAATAATAATTTTTTATTGTTACCAAACCAGGCAATGGTTAAAACGGGCGTTTTACTATTGCCTGGTTTGGCAACAATAAAAAATTAAACCTAAACAATATTTAATAACAACTATATAAAATTTAATTCAAATTTTACGTTAAAAAGGTTTCTTTATTATGTTTGAAAGGTTTATAGAGTACAGCTACATCATCTATAGTCTTAAGAACCTCTAGA